GGGGATGTGTCTTTGTGTGCAAAGGGAATAGCTGACAGTGAAAAATGTGACCAATTCGAATTTTAATTGCCAATGAAGAAAGCCTCAATATTTATGGGTTCTGTCCAAATGAACAGAGGAGTAGGGTTTAGGCATGAAAGCATATTCCTTATCACAATTAAAAAGTGCTTTAACATGACTGCAACCACTTGAAGTTAGATTAGTAGCAGTATTGGAAAGATCGGTCCTGGCTTCCAACAATGGAAACTGAATGGACAAAAAGGAAATTATTTAACAGAGCCAAAGGTAATGCTTTGTTTCTTCTTTGAATTAGCCTCATGCTATTTTTTGATAGATTTCCTCGTGTGGAACCACTAATTTTTTCTTTCTTTTGAACAAAAAATGAGGTGCACATGAAAAAAATATGCTTGGAGCGTGACCCAGCAACTTGATTGAAGGGACCACAGAAGAGAAGAAAGAAGTAATTTGATGGCACAGTTTGAGATCCTTTTTAAATTGTAACAGCTTGGACTGACAGTACAAAAATATCTTCCCAGTTATACATAGGTCATAGCTGCAAAAGAAATGTAATTATAATGACATAACTCACTGGAATGTAAGGACCTAAAACTGTTTTGTAATTGGATTGGAGCCTTTTACATATACACACAGAGAGAGATATGTCCCCACACAAACACACAAAACAAGCAAGTGTGGACGTCGGAGTTGCAATTCCCATCATTACAGAAGAGAAATGTAATTCAGCCAGTTCTTACATAAAGAAAGACAAGCCCATGGGAAGACACAGGGCTGCAACTGAGATCTGTGTAATTAGAGAAATGAGAGAGAGAAAGAGCATAACCCCAGGCAGAGAAACAAAAAGAGAGAGAGCGAGAGAGGGGGGCAACCAGAGGGACAAGGTTGAGAAAATCATCCCATGTTAACCTGAAAGAGAAAAGAGCCAGCGGAGCAAGGAGGGCAACGCGGCAAACAGAGAGCAGCTGCTGAGGATTTACATGCTGTAAATTATTCATGTAATCAGCTGTAGGACGACAGAGGGAGATGGAGACACAGACAACAAGAGAGAACAAATCTGGGCCGCAGAAGAAAGACAGACTGACAGAGACAGAGAGAAGTGCGGAGACAGACAGGTATTGTGCACTGTAACAGAAAACAAAGAGAGAGTTACACTTACCCCAACAGTCCTGTCTAGACGGGACCCGATCTTTCCCTCTGCCACACCTGTGAGATAGAGTGACCCTGTTTACATACGTGCATTTTTATCCACTTGCATGCACAGCTTCAGATTTCTCCAGATAACGATTGACAGCTAAACATTACGATCTCTGCACATTGCAGAACAAAGCGAGCCAAAGAAAGAGCATTAATAAGATATTCACTGTGTGTACTGTAGCTTCACATGCTGATTGAAAACATCCCTGCGGGCAGTATTCTGAATCTTAACACCAGAGCTGAACTAATACAGAGTTCAAAACCCAACAGCCAACATATTTCATATATAACAGCAATTACACCCTGTTTGAGTGGAGTTTTATTCTAGCATTTATGTTGATTAAATGTGTAGTGAGAAACTCTAGAGTCCTGCGTGCGAGTGATAAAATGAAAATAAAAGCAAACAAAATAAATATGCATGATATGCATGTATAATGAACTCAGTGAGATGATGAGTGATTCATAAAATGCCATTCCACAGACATAATTTAATACATTCTGAAAAGATTTTTTTCCTCCAACATGATGATGGTTATTTAGTGTCGGACTGCCTCTTAAATTATGTCATCTCTTGTCTTCCCCTCTTTCCCCGTCACCCACTGCTATAAAATATGTTACGCAGAATACATCAGGAATACCACATAAAAAATAACGACCTCTCTGCACTCGCTGCACTCTCTCTGTGCTCAGTTACACACTCTCCGACGCCCAGGAGCTTTTTGAGAAGATGCTGATCCACAAATTCCCATGGGGTTTTGGCGGAGTGGACCGGAGCCAGTGGAAATTGCAAACAAACACTGGAGCTGCTGTGTCTGATGCGAGCACAAACAACCTCAAAGCCCTCATTCTCACACGTCACATCTGTGTCTGTGCGCGTGAGTGTAAGTGTGAAAAAGTGTGAGAGAGCACTGTGTGTGTGTGCGTGCGTGATTGCAAGTTCTAGAAGGAAATTCAAAGGCATTAGGGCATTAGATTTATGAGGACATTCTCAGTAACACAGGCAATAAAGCAAAGATCCCAGCTCCTGTCAAAAGTTCATATTAGGTCTTATTGTGGCGAGAGAGAACGAGTGTGTGAGAGCGGACAGACAGAGGGCAAAGAAAGAGGTGAGACTAGAGGGACAAGAGAGAAAGAGAGTGACTGAGAAAAAGAGCCGGAGAGCAGAGACAACAAAATGGAAAACAATTTCAAAAACAGGGAGAGAGAGAAACCTCTCATGACAGGCCAAAGGCGAGAAAAAGGCCACAACCAACAATTCAAAGAGCACCCGAGAGAAACAGTCCCCAGCACCCCCACCCCACCCCTCCTGTCTCTCCACCCCATGGCTCTGGTGGCCAAGCCCGCACCACATTATGGGTCCCTGGGTTTTTTATAATGGCTGGGTGTGTTCTGATCCCGCGCTAAAGTCATCTGCAGTTAAAACCCATTCCTAATTAGTGGTGGGAACCAGAATGAGAAAAAAAAGGGAACAAACAGATTGGTAGAGGAACAATTAAGCTTCGCTGAGGGGAAACAATATTTTCAAACAATATTTCACATCGTGGGATGTTATGGTGCCACGAGGCACATAGCATGTAATCATGATGCTATAGATTTCAACAAATGACTGACAACATGTCACACGCACACATGACACAGCATTGGGAGCAGCTAGGGGTTCCACAACTTGCTCCAAGACACTTTGGAGGAGGAACAGATCAAATCAGGAACATTTTAATCACTTGTTCGCTGTTTTACTTCTTCCTTCCAATGCCCCCATACACTATAGCAATATTGCATGTATGTCAATGAATGGCGACAACTGAAAAACAGCTTTGTTTTCTACACAGCTGTCTAGAGGAAGTTTATAGGACACAAATGTTAACAATAAAATAAGTAGGGATGTGTGAACAAAAAGCTCTATTTGACATTTGTTTTATTGAATTGCTTTGCCCAAAGAAGGGAATGCTGTTTACCACTTTAAACATAATGTCTCCTTCAAAACACATTGTTTACTGAGTAAATAAAGACACATATCTGAATTACTGTTACAACTGGAAGTAGATTGCTAACACATGTATGTGGTGAGCACTGCGATGTGGAGGTTAGAGTCTAAAACCACAATGTGCTGACAACATAATGTAGAATCAAATAATAATATTAATCCATGCAATTCGTTCACATCGCACCTTTGCTAAGAGGCATGGGGAACGTCACTGGTTATACGCCCAGCAGTCAGAGCACAGATGACATCATTGATAGAGCTGAATAGAGTTTACATGCAGCCTCACACTGATCAGTCTGATCAACAGTCACCCAGCAACATCAGCTCCACTGTCCATCTCCTATGACCAGATAAGGAGGGTGCTGAATAGACTCCACCTGACAAAGACTACTGGTCTTGACAGCATAGGCTCAAGAGAAGAGTACCGAAGGCCTGTGTCCCAAGTTGTGTGTCACACAGCGGCGCCTCTTTAACCTCAGGTACATCTGAAGAACACTGCGGTGTGGAAGGCATCCTGTCTGTTTCCTGTGCTGAAGAAGGCCCATCCAGGGACAGCAGCCTATAGACCCTGGACGGGCAGGGTAGGGTAAGGGTGAGGAACAGAGGAAAAGCCTCCAACCATTTCTCTTCACCCTGTACTTCATACTACAGGTACAACATGGGGATTATTGGAAGGATCAGGGGGAGGTTGAGTACCAAAGATTTTGTGGTGGAAAGCAAAACAAAGGAGCTAGTGGTGGACTTCAGGAGATCAATTCTCCTGCGGTTCCTTTTGTCATTAAGGTTGTGAGATACGAGATGTGGAGATTGTACAGGAGAAACAATTCATAGGTGTCCATTTGGACAGCACATTGAGCTGGACCAGGAACTGCGGCTCTCTACAGGAAGGGCTACAGTTGTCTCTTTTTCCTGTGGAGCCTCTTATCCTTCAGTGTCCATTTTCTACTCTGTGGTCTGCTTTGGCAGAAGCTTGAGGATGGTGAAAACCACCAGACAATCTGATTCAGAGGGCTGAGTCAGTCCTGGGGAGCTGGACTTGTAGTCTTCTCCATTATGGAACATTTCTCCCGTCCTTGACAAAGTGTTATGGCTGGCCAGAGGAGCAAGTTCAGCCACAGACTCTGAATGACTAAGTGCTCTTCTGAACACCACAGGAGGTTCTTCCTTCCTCTGGCCCTCCAGATATACAGTTCCTCTTTCTGCTAAAGATGAACAATTTTCATAACTTCCACAATATATTTCCGCTAATGCTTAATGCCAATTTACTTGTCTACATTTGACCACACTGCTTTGCATGTCTCAATTTTCACACTCTTGTTCATATATTGCTTTTACTCTACTTCACTTTCTGTACATGTGGTATAATTTTTTCTCTTCCCTCACTTCTTGCTAAGTAATTGTAGCAAAGGCCTTTTCCCTGTGGGGATCAATTAGCAGCTTAATACATTTACATTTGTTCTGGTAAAATGAAAGCCAAAATATAAACAATACATTCTTCTGGTTGCACTTTAAGAATTGCCCTCTGAGCCTCAAAGACTAACATCACTCGCAGGGAAACCCTTTTGACAGTGCGTCTGTGCTATGTCTATGATACCCCACTTTCTCTAAATGCAGAGAAGCTTCTCCGACTCTGAGATACAATCCAGACGTGCATATTTCTTTGCCAGTTATTTCTTCATTAGCTGCTCTCTATCACTGAACAACGTTGTGATTCTGTCAATCGGACTTTTAACTTGTGTGGCCTGCAACAACTATGACAAAAGAGACGTTAAAGCTCATGAAACTTGGTAAAACTGCTGCATGTGTCAACTATGGAGAATGTAGAACTGCTAAAGTAATGGAAATGTAATGACAGATCACATTACTGCTGTTGCAGGTCAAATGCTTTTTGGATTAGCACAGGATTGGTTTGAGCAAGATGCTAAAATATTATCTCACTATTCAGCCCTGTCCCTCACTCTATACCATGTGTTTCTCTGTAAATGTGTGCAAGAGTTCACTGCGAGGAACAGAAAGCTGAACACACTGTAAATCTCATATGACACAATCATAACATTAGATCCATTATCAGTCTAAAGAAAAGAGACCTTAACAGTGAGTTAACGTTGTCTCTGTAGTAACTGATCAATGTAAGAGTTAGGCTACATCCAGTAGTTTGAGAGTTTTAGATCTGCTAAAACAAAGAAGTTTGGAAACACTTCTGGCCCTGTTCAAGTTTGAAAACTGCAGCACTTTAGTCCGAACGGGCAGAAACGAGATGTTTAGACATGAAGACACTCACGACCACATGCTATTTAGATCTGTTTTTGTCACTACGCTGCATTCGCTTACTCCTAAGGAAAACCACTGGAATTAGCCTCAGCAACCTGTGAAGAACGTAACGTGGATGATCAATTCCAAGCATTGTTGACTCTGTTGTCTTGACTAGCAGCTGTATTTTACAATGTTAATGTTAACATGTGAAGCACAAGATATGTGTTTTCAGGCATGTTAGTATGGATGGGGATAGTGTGGACAGAGATCGTTTTATGGATGTAGCCTCAGTTTTAACTGTGATTAGCTGTTGGTAGCCCTTAACTTAATTGAATAACAAAATTTGAAAAACTTTTTTGTCCGATTGTCATATTTTCACTTTTACCTCTGCCCCAATGCTTCACTCTCTGTCTGTGTTGACATTTCCTCTCCATGAGACGATTTTCTAGTCAACAAGGTTGGAATATTTTCTGTCAGTGTTATGTTGGAAGCCAAATGTGCTGACTCGCAGCATGGACATGATGTCAACACACTGGAATGCACCTCCATCTCTCCGGGGGTGGAATGGCGAGTTTATATTTGATTGACAGACGGTGAGTCGGGCCACTGAGTGTGGAATGTGTGCTGAAAGCACCTAAAAAAAACACAGAGAAGGAGATTAAAACTGACTGACTGTACCTACTGAGCAATTAGGAGTGAAATGAATTGGTTGGTTGTCCCTTCATTGGACTGTTATTAGCCAAGGTGCTCCTCACTGGAAACCATTTAAATT